TTTTCAGTCAGTTATGTATTTTAGTAGCACTCCGAATCAGTATTTCGCAATGTAAAATGTTTTAATTTGAATGTAATTGCGAAAAGCGCGCTCTGATTTTCATGTCAAGGCTGGGTGTTACAGTTGGTATCAGAGCACGTTTTTGCGTCTCTGAAAGTTTTCATGAGACAGAAAGTTCTAGAAACCCGAACACGTCACGCTCACGCCTCGCCGACTACCAGGTAAGTGCTGATTCATGTTTTAAATTATAAACAATTTACTATTTCTATGCTCAGAAATTTCTCAGTTACGATACAGTTAAGATGCTCGAATCATGTTCATGATCAGTAGTCAGTATACTCGGGATTTTATGTCAGTATTACCCGATCATGTTTAGCAACTCGTTAAGAAATTTGTGTACTTTATTGATCAGCTTCAATAAAGTCATCAGTAAGGGTAACCGGGTCAGAATTCAGAACCTTAGAAAGCGGCTGAATTTGAGAACTCTAGATTAAATTCTAGATTTATTCAGATTGAGTTAATGCCTTGTTCAGTGATTTGTAAACATTTATGTTATACAAATCTTAGTAATCATGTTCCTTAGAAATTTTCTATCAAAAATTTTTCATTTGCCAACCAGTTGGCACATTCTAAGAAAGAATTCCTCGATTCATATCAGAGAATAGACTCAAATTTTCTAAGTTAGATCAGTAAGTCATGTTCAAGGCAGAAATTTTTCATGTTAAAGGTTCTTATAATTTTCAAATTATTATTAAAGTAATGGTTTCCAGTGTATAAGAGTCAATAAGTCCGGGTTACCATGGAGGCTTGAAATAAGAGCCATTAAGCCGGGTATACCATGGAGGCTTGAAGCTGAGACCGGAGCAGTACAGTTTTAGAAAGTAACAACCTTTAGAGTCAGCTAAGTCGGGTATCTTACCAGTTAGATACTCAGAGTTTAGTTGACAAAGTTCAAGATCAATTAATTATTCAATACTTGCGGGACCAGTTAATACTGGAGTAGCCCTATATAGTACATAATCATAAGTCAATGTTCACGATTTAAAGGCTATGTTCATGTATTAAGGTCCACGTATAATAGTTGTTCAGCCGGGTTAAAAATGGAGGTCTGTGATACAGACTATTAGTCAAGTTTTGCCTGGAAGCTTGAAGTCGCACCTTATCTAGTCAAGTAAGTTAATAAATGTCATGTTCCAAAATCTGAGGCGACCATTTAGTTGTCTCTGGATAGCTTTCGAGGTTCAGATAAAGAATGATTCAGTTATGTAAAAGTTAAGTCCTGGATATTCAGTTATGTGAATACTCAGGCTAGTCATGTCATGTCAAGAATAGTCTGTCTAATAAGACAAGACTTATCAGTCATTTCAAGTATGTTTAGTGTCTCGATTCTCAAATGCAGACGATTTGAGAACTCGTAGAAAAGATCAGTTCATGATAAACTTTTCTTGAGGTTATGTTTGACCTCATGGAAGGTAAAAAGTTGCTGGTACAACCTGTAGATATACGACACGACGGAGAAGACCAATTAACAGCAACAGACCACGCCATGATGACAACCGAGCTTTCCATTCAAGTATGCATGACGCCAGAAGAGAAGGATGCCATACCATGTTGAGTCACAGTACACTGGGAAATCACGGAGAGTTAGCATTATAGTACATTGAGGTTACTAGCCGAGATACAGATATGATCAGCCATACAGACTACGTCGACGTCGCAGGTACAATGTTCGCCAGGTGTTGTATGCAGGTGTGCCGCACTCATTTG